GATAGAATGAAAGGAATACTGATAAATGAAAAGGAATACTGTGATATTGGGCTCAACTCTCGTCGTGTGAAGGTTATCGTTCTTTGTTCGATAAGAAAAAGAAACAGTAACACTGTCATAGGGTGTGGACGAAGTTGTATACTCTGTCATTGTCGAAGGAAACCAGGCGACGAGTCCCTTGAGAAAGGTTTAAACTGGTCGTGCTATCTTCTTTTGAGTCTTTCACAAATGAGTCCTATTTGAGTCTCTAGTAACTGATCAGCGGTTATAAAATTAATCTAAATTAAACTTTAAGCGACGAGACTGGAGCACGACATCACTGACCACTGCACATATTCTGCTTCTCTCCATTAAGTATTTCCTTTCATTCTATCACAAATGATTCATCCCTTCAACACTCTATGTAGTAACTTTTTTTTAGAAATTAGTTGTATTTCTTTCTCTTTCTTCGTTGCTATTGCACCATATGCCAGCTTACGCAACATTAATGTTTTTCTCGTCTTTAGAAATACATTTACATAAAGTTTACATAAAGTGGGTTACATAAAGTTTTATAAACAATATTTCCACGAACAAAAATTATGAGGAAGGTGTGATGGTGCCAATTTTGGATGTTGTAGATGTTATGGTGCTGATCGTCGATTTAGACCTTTTAAACTTTTAGGATCTGCTGTGTTTCCTGAACTATCCAATGAAGTTGTTCAACTTAATTCACCAAACCGTTCTTGAGCAAATTGAAGACGTTGAATAGACGATTGTAACATTTCAATATCGGATTGTAATTGAGAACGTACTTGTTCAATTTGTGCTATGCACAAAGAGACAGGCTGTTGATCACCTGAAGCTGATGCAGTAGTAGCCGACATGCTGAAATCTTGAAGAAGAATGTGTGTACGTGTGTCTCGTCGTCAACACAGATCTTCTTTTCTTTACTTGTATTCTTAACAATGTAAGAGGTCCATTGAGACGACTAATTAATATGAAAAAAATATTGGATACTGAATTATCATAAGATGCATTAACAGCATTGATATTGATTGATAAAGCAATGAAAAAGAAATTAAAACAATAATAATAGACAAAAAGCTTCGTTGATGCTCGATGTTCACCGACGAAGTTCATTCAAACATTCATCTTTTTTTCCTTTCGTATTGATTCATAATATCCTGGATACAAGTGATGTTTCTGATTGAAATATGATAAACATACTCTGCTTTTGTTCGGTTCAAATAAAATATGCCCTGTTCAAGTTCCATCACTTTTTGAACAGGTCGTATGTGCTAACAACAGAACGATTAAGAAGACAATCCATTATGACAAATTAGATAGAAAATAGAGGTATATGGATTTTGATGAAATTTTCTTTAGCTTTACAGAATCAAAACAAATTATGGCTCTACGACGTATCTGTAACTGATTAGACTACAGTATAACGGCTGATCTCTTCAGCATCATTACTATCTGTGGAATAAGTTTCTTCAGCAAATTCAACTTTAATGTCAGGAAATAACGCGTGCAGAGATGCGACAAATTATTACCTATAAAATCGCAGCGCTTGCTTTTTGGTGTCTTGCGCTGAAAAGTTTAATATTTTAATATTTTTTTCTCGCCTAAAATACAATGAAATATATAAAATTGTAGAACGAAGCAAGCTTTACAAAACTGAACAGGATAAAAAGAAATCATTATTATAGTCACATAGTAAACATTAAACGATGGTTTTCTCGAACAGTCTGATCTCTTAGGTCTATTAAGATCTATAATATTTCTGATCAGTAAACTCCATGAATAACTCTATGGAACTATTCTTATTTATACACCATTAGATGCAACTTTTTGAGCACTACGAAACCCTGTATTCCGTTTCTGTATCTTAATAAATCGATAAAATCCGACCAGATCCTTTCTTTTCATTTGTTTTTTAAAAGGATTTTTTGTTCTTCCATTTGTAATTTTAAGAATAAATTGGAACAACAAGAATTATTAATCAAGTCGATCAAAAACCAAATCAAGATCTTTTTCTTTTCATTATTCTAGAATTCATTGAGAAAAGTTTCCAGAGATTTTATTCGTTAAAAGAAAAATTTGTCACTAAAAAAGTTATTTTACCCAAGAAGATCAAAATTTAATTCATTGAAGAGAAAAGATTTCACATCGAATAATAAACAATCACATTGACTTCCTTTTATTGTTTTTTGATGATTTATCTTTGTTTATATCAATTCTGTGTGTTTCTCTATTTCAGAACTCAATTTATATCAAAATACAAAACTCGAGATTGTGGTCCAATAGACCATTATCAATAAACAACTTTGCTTATCGCATAGCAAAATCACACCAGTCAGTGTTTCGATCTTAGCTGATACACTGAACAACAATAAGACATTCAAGAGACTGTTTCTAGGATGGAATCGGATATCTGACATAGGTGTTTATTCTCATGTCAAGATCCTTTCAATCAACAATAATACTCTCAAGTGGCTTAGCCTTTCAGAGAATGGGATCATAGGTGAAAGTGGAAAACATCTCACTCAAATGCTCAAAACAAATAAAACATTGACTCACCTGCGGTTAAACAATAATGTCTCGAATATCCGAATCCCTCTGAGAACAAATTATTGACTGATTCGAGTGTCGATTTTCTTCTTCAAGTGATCAAGCAGAATCTATCATTGAATAAGCTCTGGATGAAGGTCTGCTATTTGTCCTAAATGGGCAAAAAACAAGTTCATTTGATTAATAAAAGGAAATCGGAATGAAATAAATTGATGAGCAGTGGAAATAATTTTAAGAAATAAAGGAAATATTGATCAATTTCGAACATTATAAATATAAAAGACAAGAATGAAACAAAAAGAAATTATTTCTTAAAACATTTAAAAAAAAAGAAAATCTTTTCAAAACAAATCTTTTTCACCATTTATTTTTCTGTCACGAGTTTGAAAAGGAGCGATGCGCATTCATTTCTATGTCCTTTCGCGCATTTTCGATGAGATCAAAGCAAATGCCATTTTATCTTCATGCAATTCTATCCAAAAACGACGATAATTATAACTTGAGTTCTAATCGTTTTAGCTTTTGATCGATTTTTTTTCAACTATCAATGGCGAATTATTTCTGATAGAATCTGACTTCAAGGAGGAGTCGATGCAATAATAACGAGAGTCTTTCGATAGAACAGCCGACAGAATATGAGAAAATGTGCGAGACAATGATGAAGACGCAAATATCGATGACCAATGATTTTGGAACGACGTTTTAAACATAGGCATTATGTAGTAGATAAACCAAGAAATGGATGGATTGACGGAACTGTTTCTATTGCTAGATACGAGAACTTTGAGACTGGATGAGAGTGAGTGTTCAGAGATGTTGAATCAGTTAAAGCAGTATGAGACGTTATCGGAGAGTTGATTTCACTTCTCGATGCAGTTATCTTTCTTCGAGATTGTGGCGAATATGTTTGCCGGCGACAGACGTTCTTCCGGCTTTCCATCTATTGTATGAACACAAGCGCGTGTAGTCGGGGCATAATCATCATAATTTTCCGGCTTATATGAATCTATCGACCTGGAAGTGATGCTGTGGGTCCTCCATTTGGGAACTCACATACCATCTTTCATTCATGCCAATTCCCTTTTTTCGTTTATTGGAAAATTAAACATTTCTCTTTGTTTATTAGCGCGAACAGTTTCGTGAGTAGCAGCAGTTTATTTGGCAAAATCAAATGAAAAACAAGTGGGTGAATAAGAGAGATGCGCTAAATAACGTTGTGACTTCACGCTTTAAATGAAAAAAAAATCAAGTAGGGTTCGCTGTAAAAACACCAGTGAGAGTTAGACTGAGTGGTGACTTTTATAATTTAAAAAATTTACTAACACGGCTATTACCGTTTTCACTGACGTACAAATTAAGTTGTGAATCCAATTTTACGTCATATGGAGCAGAAATACTGCTACCACCACTTCCACGTCCGGCAATTGTGATACCTGTCGAACTTCCATTGCAGAAAAGTTGAACCCGATTATTTGTACGATCAGCCACATATATATTGTACCATTGATCTAGTGTTATTCCCATTGGTGAATATAATTGCGTTGAACTATTTCCCGGAACCCCAACAGTACCGGCTACAACCGTACCAGTTGAAGCACCAATTCGCCATTTCACTACAGTAGCAACGGGACCAGAATTGGCAATATATAAGTCTAGATTTGTTTCATCATAAAACAAACCAGCGGGAGAAGATAATTTGTTTGTTGTGTTGCCTGTTGATGAAAATGAACAGAAAAACAAGTGTCATCTTATATTTGTTAATTTTGAGGTTAAACACCCAGCAACTGCATAGTACATACATCATCGTTCATCGCTGTTTAATGCAGAGCTGTTTGAATGCACAAAAAATGTGTAAGATGAAATGTATTGTATGAATACAATGTTATAGTGTAAGCTAAAAGTGGGCTGATCCTGACACTCGAGACGTATTAGTTTTCATACTTTTCATCCTCTTCTACTTTTCAGACTTTTAAAACTTATCATACTATTCTACCTTTCATACTTTTCATCGCCTTCATACTTTTCGTGCCTTTCATGTTTTTCAACTTTTCATCCGTTTCAATCTTCACTGCTTTTCATACTTTTCCTGCCTTTCATCTGCCTTGCACACTTTTCACTGCATGAATCGGAATGAAAAGTATGATAAGTATGAAAGGGCCGAAAACTATGAGAAGTAGAGTAGAATGAAAGGTTTTAAAAGTATGAAAAGCATAGTATGAAGCGAATAAAAAGTATAAAAAAGACTGCTGCCCCATCTTCGTCGAAAAGTAAAGTGAAAATTACTCTACACATTGTTTGTATATTCTAGCAGCCATCGTTTAATGAAAAGGGGGGGGAGAGTGCAGACGATTAAACTTTCATTTCTCCTTTGACACTTTTCATTGCATGAAACGGAATGAAAAGTACGATAAGTATGTAAGCGATGAAAAGTACGATAAGGAGGGCTCTTATAATACACAAAAAATGTGTAAAGTGCTTTTATCTTTACTTTTCTACGACGATGCAGCAGCAGTCTTTTTTCTACTTTTCATCGCTCGCACAGTTTTCTACTTTACGTACTTTTCACCCCTTTCATACTTATCATACCTTTTCATTCCGTTTCATGCAATGAAAAGTGTGCGCACTGTTTGTGTGTTCCAACAGCCCTCGTTTAATGAAAGGAGGGCGGGGGCGGGGGATAGTGCAGACGATTAAACTTTCATTTCTCCTTTACACTTTTCATTGCATAAAACGGAATGGAAAGCATGATAAGTATGAAAGCGACGAAAAGTACGAAAACTAGAATAGTATGAAAACTATGAAAAGTAGAATAATATGAAAAGTTTGAAAAGTATGAAACCGATGCAAAGTAGAAAAAAACACTGCTGCCACATGTTCGTAGAAAAGTAAAGACAAAAGTAAACGGGGACAGTGCAGACGATTAAACTTTCACTTCTCCTTTCACACTTCTTATTGCATGAAACGGAATGAAAAGTATCATAAGTATGGAAGGGACGAAAAATATGAAAAGTGGAATGGTATGGTGAGTTTTAATTGTGTGAAAAGTAGAAGAGTATCAAAAGTATGAAAGCGATGAAAGGTAGAAAACTGTGCGAGCGATGAAAACTATGAAAAGTAGAATAGTATGAAACGGATGAAAAGTAGAAAAGCACCGCTGCTGCATCGTCGTAGAAAAGTAAAGAGAAAAGTACTTTACGCATTTCTTGTGTATTCTAACAGCCCTCGTTTAATGAAAGGGGGGGCGGACAGTGCAGACGATTAAACTTTCATTTCTCCTTTCGCACTTTTCATTGCATGAAACGGAATGAAAAAGTATGATAAGTATGAAAGGGGTGAAAAGTACGTAAAGTAGAAAACTGTGCGAGCGATGAAAAGTAGAAAAAAGACTGCTGCTGCATCGTCGTAGAAAAGTAAAGATAAAAGCACTTTACACATTTTTTGTGTATTATAAGAGCCATCGTTTACTGAAAGGGGGGGGTGGGGGCACAGTGCAGATTATTAAACTTCCATTTCTCCTTTCACACTTTTCATTGCATGAAAAGGAATGAAAGGTATGATAAGTTTGAAAAGGACGAAAACTATGAAAGGTATGAGAGGGACGAAAAGTAGAATAGTATGGTAAGTTTTAAAGGCTGGAAAAGTAGAAGAGTATGAAAAGTATGAAAGCGTTGTCTGTAATAATTATTAAGGTTCGAATATATCTTCCTATTTTACATTTCAAAACTCTAGAAAAGTTCACCAATTCCTTTCCCAAGCTTGACTTTTCATCGAGAAGTAGAATACTCCAGTTTGTTTGTAGGACAGGCAGCTCTCTACAAGATATACAATATCAAATATTGAAATGCTAACCGTTGTTTTTTGTTCAGATCTCACGTTACTTTCGATATTCAGGTGAAAATCAATATTTTAAAATGAGAATTTAGCATATAAATACTCCCAATGATGAAAATGCAGATGTTTTTAAGGCGTTTTTTAACTGTTATGTGCAACAAGTATTATTCTGAATAGATGTCTCGTCCGTATGAAACAATTCTCATAGAATTCTTCTCTTCTGTTTGTTTTGTTTTATGGTCTTTCTATTTCTTATGAAAAATGTCGTTTGGATAAAAGAAAAGTCGTCGAAAAAGAACATTGAAGGACTTCAAACATTTTATTTCTAATTTATCGAAATTTTCAACATTTCTCCTCCCCGTTCGATTAAATATCATTCACTCTTCTGCATTCAAAATAATTATTCCCAGAAAACGCTAAATTGGTTTTTCATCGTTCGACTTACCCGATGAGCCTGTAACGCCAGCAATAAGAACTCCCGTTGTTGCACCTGAAGCCCATCGAGTTAGACGATGATTTTGATATTCCGCCACAAATACATTTGAATTAGAATCCACCCATACACCATACGGATAATATATTTGATATAACGAGGTTCCATAAGTGACACCACCTGCCACAATCGTCCCGATGGTATCACCAATTGTCCAACGAAGAATACGATTATTGTCTGTGTCACTAATATAAATATTCTGACTTGAATCAAGATAAGTATAACGTGTGCCAGACGAAAGTTGGTCCAATGCAGTACCATAACCTGACCCAGCTACCTTAATACCAGTACTGGCACCTGGTACATATTGCATTATACGAAAGTTACCACTATCAGTGACATATAAATTATTATTTGAATCTATGGATATGCCAGTTGGACTGGATAATTGATTCGAAGCATTGCCTGATGAACCGGTACCCGCATACCTTTTATTGGTTGTATTCCAATAGACTCCGCTGGTGCCTGAAAATGAAGAGCAAAAACAGACAATTTTCAAGGCTGAATCGAAACCATTTTTATATTGATACAAACAAGGATTAACCAATGATGCGGCAGTAGCTATAAAAGAGAAAAAGAAAAGAAATATGTGTGCATATTACTCAGAAAAGAGATAATACAGGTACAAACCTCTGATGACCGAGAAATATCCCAACTGAAATGCATGTTGACTCTTTGTCATAAGACACGAGTACTGCAGTTACATCGACCACAACTGTCAAGCCCTGAAAGCGACATAGATGCACAGAAATGTGTCTCATATTAAAATTCGAAAATCGCCGATATCACGCTTTTTGTTCAACGTTTCAGGATAAGTGAATATTTAGCGTTTTTCTTCTCTGTTTCTAGATTTTTGATCATCACGACCAAAATTCTGATCAAAATCAATGACAGATTTAATTAAGCGATTAAAAACTGAATTGAATGATGCGCATTTTTCCCAGGTGTGTTACAAAAATTTTCGTTTTAGTCTTTTTTCCGAAAAATCATTAAATCTTTCTTGGTTGATTCAGTTACTAAGATTCAAAATGTGTAGCCTCTTGAATAAATTTGATTCACTGTTAAGTTCTGGCTGTAAAGAAGTATTCCTGATATCAAAATTTTGTATTAGAACAACACATCGCCAAACATCCTTCCACTGCAGCAAGTGGAACGAGACCAGCGATTTTTGTTCTTAACGGAGAACAGAAGTCTCACCACATTCTTCCGAAAAATGTATTTTTGTATCTATTTACTTGGTATTGTTGTTGTTATTGTTGCCGATGTTGTTATTACCGATGTTGTTGTTGTTGCTGCTGCTGGTGTTGTTGTTGATGTTGTTACTGATGTTGTTGTCCTTGTTGCTGCTGACGTTGTTGTAGATGTTGCTGTTGTTGTTATTGCCGATGTTGTTGTCGTTGTTACTGCTGATGTTGTTACTGTGGTTACGGATGTTGTTGTTACTGTCGTTGCTGACGTTGTAGTTGCTGTTGTTGTTGTTCCTAGTTCTGCTAAATCCACAATCAGTATCTTGATTAGCTGTTTTGTAGGAAATCGAACGGTATAAAAAAACATTTTCAGCGCAGTCTCTATGGGATTAAATGGTGAAAGACACTGGAGTCACTTCAAAAGTGGGCAAAAGATCGCGCAATAAGTTCGTTCATTCACAGTACTGAGCACTTCCTAGACATGCCGCGTACTGTTTGTAATAGGAGCGAACCCTTCACCAGTTCTATCCCGGTCTGTGAGTGGGTGAAGGGGTTCAACTTTCTCGCTATATATTCCAACACTTCTTTACAGTCGTGTTCCAACAAAGTGCAGTCACATTCAACTGCATTAAAGTATTACTATATGATTTAAGTTTCTTGCCTGTGAAAACAGAATCAAAATATATAACCTATTTAGCACTTGTCAAAAACTATGCAAAACCGAGAGAAAATATTGATGTCAGAACAAAGGCTTCATTTTTTCCGCAAAGATCAACTAAAAACCAGTTTTTGTGAGGAAAAAAAAATTTTGCCCAATTTAATCATCAGATTAATAGCTATCCATAAAAAGAAAATTCACCAATCTTTGGATAGCTATTGAAAAAAAATGATCTGAAAAATGGTCGCACGGACGAATGTTTTGAAAGGACTGTAGATTAGATGCCTACAATTGATGTACAAATCCATGGACACACCTCGCTGCCCATGGACAAACAAGATTTTATCAACCAGTTTTCGTTTGCCAAATTGATCTGACGGGATCTAGAGCAATCCGTCCATCCCGCAACAGGTTTATTTTTTCTCCTTTCAGTTAGAATAAAACAAGCATTTTTGCGCCATTACTTATGTCAACCTAAAATTTGTGCAAAAAACTGATAGATAGACATTGTAGAAAAACGTTGTCCATGCAGACCTCTAGAGTTACTGAACAAAAACTTTGTGAGAGGAGCAAATCAATAAAGGAGCTTATGCAACTCTCATTGTTCGTTATTTTCTAGAAAACCACATGAGGCAGGAGAGAAATGTTTGGTTTACAAATTTCCTCAAGCAAAACTCGCCTTAGTCATATTTGGCTGATAACAAATTAAAAAAACGCAAACAAGAACTGCATTTCGAGTTTTTGGAATTTTCGTTCTTTAAACTTTTTAAATATGAACATAAACATTTTCAAATTCAAAAATAAACTAAGTTTATCCAGAATTCTATTTTCTTTTGAATAAGATGTTTCGCAACGTTGCAGTTAGGCTGCAACAGTTCAAATTCACAAGAACTGTAACCTGTTGAACTATGCGCTCTATCAAAAAAGAATGTGTGCGATGTTGTTTCGAAGAGTTCCGATACGTGACCATCCACTGATTTATGGCTTTTATCATTGTGACCACGTCCATAGGACATAGCACTACATAAGAAAAGAGGATTTTTGTTGAGGATTTGAATGGTTTTCTAGAATGATCTCCAGCAGTGTTCAGATTTCCAAAAAAGGAAATTTCCCTCATAAATAAAGCAACTTCAGAAACTTCGACAATGCAAAAACAATAAAATGAGAAAATACCGAAATTACCATATATTCCAACATACAATACAAATTCATCCATGAACCAAACACAGAAATTTACCAGAAATTACCTAGATTCGCTACATCCTCAAAACCAAATTCCGTAGAAATTTTGGTAATTCTCCACTAACGAAAAAGCAAATTTCTCAGTAATTTCTGAAATTGCAAACATTTTCAAAACTAATTATTAAGAATTTACTAACAAAGTAAAAGGTTACGCGATTGCGCAAAATACTCGAAGCAGCAAATAAAAGGAAACTTCCAAAAATTACCACAACATCAGCAAGAATTTTCCATACATATTCAGAACATACTCCAGCGCGCAAAAGAAATTTCCGTAAACTTCCGAAGTCTTTTACGGTATTTACCCAAAATTTGCCACACTTTCTCTAAACCAAACGATATGGATACGCCAATTACTAGAAAATTACTGAAATTTCTACTATTTATTAGATAGACATATCCATTACAGTAGGCATCCCAATCTTGGAACATAAGAGAAATTTTAGAAATTTCCGCAATTTCGAAGCAGTTTGGGTAATTATAGGTAAATTATTGAAATTTCTTTCATTCATCAGATAGACATATCCATTAGAACAGGCACCCCTATCTTGGAAAATAAGAGAATTTTCAGACATTTTGATAATTTCAAAAAGATTTTGGTAATTACTGGGAAATTTCTGAAATATCTGTTATTCATTAGATAGGGATATCCATTAGAATACGCAAATTCACCTATTTTCGAAGATAGGAGTGCCTATTCTAATGCACATCTCGGTCTAACATATGACAGAAATTTCGGGAATTTCCCAGCAATTACCAAAATTTCCTCGAAATTTCCGAAACTTCTAAGAAAGAGGAAATTTTGGTAATTACGTGGAAATTACTGGAATTTCAATCATTTATCAGATAGAGATATCCATTAGAACAGGCACCCCTATCTTGGAAAATAAGAGAATTTTTAGACATTTTGATAATTTCAAAAAGATTTTGGTAATTACTGGGAAATTTCTGAAATATCTATTATTCATTAGATAGGGATATCCATTAGAATACGCAAATTCACCTATTTTCGAAGATAGGAGTGCTTATTCTAATGCACATCTCGGTCTAACAAATGACAGAAATTTCGGGAATTTCCCAGTAATTACCAAAATTTCCTCGAAATTTCCGAAACTTCTATAAATTCTCGTATTGTTGGAGATAGGGTCCGAATTCTAATGGATGATACCTCATAAATAATGGATATTGCAGAAACTTAAAGGTAATTACCGAAAATTCTAAAAATTCTCTTATTTTCGAAGATAGGGGTGTTTATTCTGATGATTGATATCTATGTCTAATAAATGATAGAAATTTCGGGAATTTCCCACTAATTACCAAAATTTCTGTAAATTCTCGTATTGTCGGAGATAGGGTGTCCTACTCTAATGGACACCTCGGTCTAATAAACGATAGACATTTGGGAAAATTCCCAGTCATTACCAAAAGGTGAAGTCCGCATAAGAACGCTAATCGGCCCACTAACAATAACCCCTCTAATCGGTCCCAACCGCATCAAAAACACATCCTATTATCATATTCGATGATTTCGACCCTTCCGGACGCTTTATCAAATAATATTATTTACAACCAAATTCAACTATTTATTAATAGACTCAGTGGAGAAAAGAGTCTTCTTCAACTTTGTTGAGCGAGTATGAGTTAATACAATAATGAAAATAAATAAAATAATA